CAACTAAGGATCAGTATCTTGAGTTATGCTTAAAATGACAAATAATTCAAGACGAGGCACTCACAAGCTTCGTAGTACTGGGTCGGCACGGTAACGGCTGGGACAACATCACCTTCAACCATCTGCCACCTACCCATCACCTAGAACCAGGACTCCTTCCACCCCTTTATGAAGGAGGGGAATCCAACTACAAAGGGGGCATGGGAACCCCAAGGGGTGATATAGTACCACCCCTTCAAGTCGTCCTTCTCTATGACCCTAGCTTAGAATAAGGTCTCGAAGACATGTAGGGGTAAGTCCTCGCCTAAGGACACTTCTTTCCAAATGAAGTAGGTCCATATGACTTGGCTCCACCCATTTGGAAGAATTTAGGTAGGGGACAACATAAAGGGCCGCGGCACCGCCCTAAAGAAGGGGTGCAGAGGCAGACGCACACCCGCTTTAAGCAGGTATTCACTGAAAGCTACGCAGTTTGACCTCGGAAAACAGGCTCTTTCGTGGGGATCGGGAACTATGAGCTTTACATAGTGGGGTATGCGATAGGTGTCCCTAAGGTCGGCTAATTTGGAAGAGGTTATGTTGGATGGAATCTTAGCTGCCCCCCAACCCACCTCATAATCTATTGGCTCCTAGGACATGCTATACCACTCACCCGAAGCCCCAGATACTAACTCCTCCCCACTCCTAACTACTATAATAGCCAAAGACACCTCGGTAGACATTGCAAGAAAAAGAAAATCGTAGAAAAACTACCGATAATGGTGTTGAAGGTTGGAGAGAATGCTCCTTAAGTGAGAGTACCTAAATAAACGAGGAAGTCTGTCGGAAGACTCGCCGGAAAAGATTTGATAGCAAGAAAGCTTGAGAGGTTTTGAAGAGTATTTTACGAAGATAAAGTTTGAAAACGGCAAGTTTTTAGCTTTTATACCAGTAAAGGACTTAATCCTAGCCATTGGATTAAATCTCAGCTGATCTGAAGCGTCCAAAAGTAAGTAGATCCGAACCACAGATTTCGAACGGTTTATTTTTTCAACGCTCCAGATTAACGCGTATGTGTACTAGGATGGATTCGCGCGTGAACGTGTTCCCCAAAACCACTAGTCCTAATAATTAGCCATCATTATGCATTGAATTTAAACAGTTGTACGGTTATTGGAAGTCGTTTCGATGTAGCCAACTTGCCTTGGAAACATAAGAAACCGTCATGTCACAGGCACTAATAACTCTGAATGTCGCCTCGCTCCAAAGGAATTCAGCATCGCCAGTTCGAATATGAACTCGTCTCACTTCAACTCCAAAAGAATTTCAGTTTTAAAGGCAACTTTCTTAGCACTACCCATCACACTTCTTGAATTCCACGTACATTATGAATATCTCTGCCTGGATTTAAGGGACTGATGTGAAGTACAAAAAATTAAAACTTTTTCTGACTTATTGAAAGCCCACGCATGGCATAAATGACCACACATGGACTTGGGAGACTATTATTACGAGTCATAAACCGGAAGCGACACGTGGCATTATATTTTAGCAGTGGGACCAGCCTAATTAAATTGGGGTATATTTTCCTAGCCATCGACGTGGATTCCGAGGCCTTGACTTTTTTCGAGGCCATTATTGTTAACTAAAGCCACGGTTCGGTGGACATGCACTATCCGAGGCGGACATGCACTATCCAAGTCCCCTTTGTTGCAGCTAGTGGAGATCCACGTGGAAAGATATAGCAATAATGAAGATCTTTATTTCAAATAATTGACGTGACTTTTGTAAAGTGCATTTGTATCTTGTCTTGTCAATGTAAGAGCATTTAATGCTTTGTAAGGTTAGGAGAGTCAACTTGATAGTTAGGACTTGATGTCTTGGTCGAAGAGATGATGCCACGTGTAACTTGATTCAAAGGCCACCATTTGATTTGTAACACTATAAATACCCCCACCATGTAACATAAAAGGGCTAATGCGAATTCTGAATGAAATTCTAACTACTTGGAGCTATATTATTCTCCCGTTCTATCAGCACATTTCAAATACAAATCTTGTTCTTTATCGATTGCTTTTTTATACAATCGTGTTCTAGTTATCTCGCCGGAGACCTGAACGGAGACGTCTCGTGTCGTTGAGCTCCTCCCACGTTCAGATTCTGAAGATATTCTGATCGTCGATCGGCGCTAACGTGTTGGATTTAGCTTATGTGTATACAAGTGGGCCCGACATTTGTTGGCAACATTTTTTTGGGATCAACGGATTTATTAGATTTTGTAGTCATTATGCTATTATCGTTTTTGTACTATCGAAACAAAATATGTCAATCAAACCGGCAAAAAATAGGAATTTGGGTAGAGAAATGACATTTTTCATGAAAAATAAAGTCAATCAAACACCTATTTTTGGCATTTTGAAGTTTGCTAAATTTTATTTTTTATTTCAGTATTACACATTATTTTTTTTTTATAAATAACGTAATCATTTTCGTCCTACACTAATTGGAATATATCAATATGCACCAAAAAACCAGCACGAGCATGTAAGCCAATGAAGTATTAAAAGAGATTGGTGAAGTTTTTTGTTTTTCAAAATTAGTTGAAAATTTTTTGATGCAATCATATCTCACCACATCATATATATATGTAAACCATTATGTAACGTAGCATAACCGATAAAGTTTTATGTTTTTCAAATTAATATCAACGTTGTCATCAAAATTTAGTGCATATTCTTACTTGTTTCTAATTTTATTTCTATTTTTTTACTTACAAGGGAACCTTAAAAGTGAATCATTTACTTATAAGTATTTTTAATTATGAGTGAATTTTATATTTAAATCCTGTTTGTTCAGCATTAATTCTACATATTTAGAAAAATTTCAACCGTTGACAGCTACCATTTTTGACTCTTTATCTCACAGTTGGGGCCCACATTTGAAAATAACAATCCTTTTTTTTTCTACTTTCCACTTGAATAATGAGCCCCAAACAGGGTGTGATATTTTACTTATAAATAAATCTTTATCAGGTGGAAAGACGGGGGCCACCTGATGTTTATAGAAATTTGGAGGGTTCACTAATGATCACTAACTTTTGCTTTAGAGTCACTTGATCATTGATCTTCAATTCGTTTCAATCAAACTATCAATTCAATTGACATCTATTTTTTTAACTGATATATGTGTCCTTGCGACAAGCAGTAATAGTCTAACAGTTTGATGACTAGGCACATAATCACGTAGAATTTTCAGTTAAAAGACTGTGGGCAGTAAGCCGGGCGCTGCTTAAGTCCACATGCGATGTGGGCTTTAGCTTTTGAATGTGAGTTGACAGGTTCAGCCCAAGTCACTTTCAGCTATTGATTGTGCCGACAGGTCCAGCCCACTAATAACCTTTTTTATCTTTCATGAATAAACAATTTTTTTATCTACTAGAAACATAAAATTAAAGAATAAAAAGCGGGAAGAGTTGAATGGCATCATTGATTCCTATATAGGCATATACCAAATGAACGGTTGAGAATTAAAAATCATAATTATCTATTGTCGAGGGTAATTAAATAGGAAAAATAAACACATCGTGAAAGATGTTAAGTGGGCATACACCTATCACGAAACAAACACATAAGAAATAATTAGACTCAAGAAGTTAACGGACGGTAACAGACCCATCATGACACATACACATAATCCTTGTTTTCAACACATGGTACACATAAATATAAAGAAGAACAATCATGCTACTTGTACAGTTTCCTCGACATATACTGAGCTGACATACACTTCAACCTTTGATTTGAACCACCTCAGCATCTATCAAAATACCTGTGTACAAGCAGCTTAAGGGCTTATTATTTGACATAATTTTTGAAAAGTCAAAAGACTTTTGAGATTCAAAAGCTGCTTTTGAACCCGTTAAACTAATTTTATAAAAGTACATCTGGTAGTTAGAAGAACTTTTAGAAGAAGTTGGTTCAATGTAACTTTCTCTAAAAACACTTCCGGAATAGAAAGTACTTTTAAAAATTAGTTTTCAAACAAAAATCAATATAGCTTACTTAGCGGGTTTGAAACACAACCGTTGAATCATCTGAATTAGATTCCATAAACAAAACCAGAAGCATGAAACTTTTGTCTTGTAATAGCATCAATTTGGTGTATCATTTCAGGCTTCAAGTAGTTGTTGTGATCACCAACCTGTCCATTTCTGAAAAATGAATTATATGGCAATGGAAAACACTCTGGCATCTCACTTGACTTGTTAATTTCGTGATTACTTAATGTTTCAAAGCCACAACTTTTCACAATTTCCTCAATTTCTGCTTCTTCATTTTCACCTTCAAATGGACACCCCAGAAATTCAGCCAATCTTTTCACTTGTTTGTTTCCATCTTCCTTAAGTTCCTCGAAGGTAACAAAGAACACTTTCGACGGCCTTTTAAGGCTTTCTTCCCAGTAAGCCAAAACATGATCATAATACGGACCGAAAGGTACAACCCCACTGCAGAACTGATCAACAGCAGCCTCCAGTGTCCATGGATCTTCGTCGAATTTCTTTCCTTTTTGTATGAAATGCCAAAGGGAAATGAGAGTGTCCTTCGGATTTCTTGTAACATAAACAATTTTACAATCTGAAGAGTTGAGGACATCGCCTATAATCTGGTAAGGAATATGGGTTCCAAGAATTCTAACTTTTTGATCAGTAAATTCAGGGTTTTTCCCATTGGATTCAAGAAATAGTTTTGTTTCTAGAGATGGGATGAGTTCATGGGGGTGGTTAAAAATCAGGGATTTTTCTTCTGAAGATCTGAAAATAATGGAATGTAAAAGAGCTTTAAGCCATGTAGTGCCAGTTTTGGGGAAAGAAGCGAGAATTACATCAGTTGGAGGTGGCTTGAAATTCTCAACAACTTTTTTTGTGGGTTCCAGATAAGGTGACCAAATCCAAAAGCCCTTAAATTTGTATAGAAATTCATCAGAAAACCATTTCTGTTTTGTGGATTCAAGATGAGGGTTTTGATATGAAAAAGTTTCCATTGTTGAAGACGAAAAGCTTCAATTGATGAAGAATTCATGAGTAATCATTTCATTTTATGCTGTAAAGAGGAAAGGTGATAGAAAAGTTGGTTGGCAATATAATTAATTTCTTATTGACCTGGCATAGTACACACTCATTGACATTGATTGTGGACTGCGATATGTGAACCATGATAATATATGATAGAAAGGTTAAGTGGGACAAGCGGCTCGTAGGCGAGCTCGCATCCAAGGCAAGTGGTGGATGTGAGTCGAACAACAAAAACTTTGTACGAGCCGCTCGTTGGCTCACGAGGCGGCTTATCATTAGGAGTTGAAATGTAACTTATAATTAAAAGAAACACGAGCCGTGAGTAGCTCGAGAGCTGGCTCGCCAAAGTTGTATAAGTTTTTTAAGTAAAATTGGTTCATGCCTCGTAAACGTTTTGGTTAATCTCTCTCAAACCAGCTAAAAAGCAAAGTAAGAGTCCAACCTTTTGCGCTGTCAAGGCATTTAAGTGTCAAACCGCCCCTATCTTTCATCATTATTGTAGAGTTGGGTCATCAATTTATGGAATTGTCAGTTGACTTCTAAATAGATAAAGCGTAGTTATATTTCGTACCATAATTTATTTTGAATGTATCAAATTTTAAGGTGTATTTGAACCATATTATTTTGAAAGAACGTATTTTGAAATAGTAGATTGATGGAAACTGTGTGGTTGAAAAAAGAATGAAATGTTATTGATGTGATGAAAAATATTATTTTATTGAAAAGTATGTTGTTGAAAATAAGTAAAAGAATGAGAATAAAAATTTTAATGTGACTCAAACAGGAACTTAAATGTATTAAAAGTTATTTATTGTGACATTTATATCTTTAACTTTTTTCTTTACATTTTTTTTTATCTTTAACTATTCATTAATGAGCACATTTTGCGTGTGCTTTAAAATGAGGAAAGAAAATTTAGCTTGTGTTTGACACCCATTTTAGGGAAATAATAGATTTTGGAATAGTGATTGATAAAAGAATGTGTAGTTAAAAAGTAAGCAGAATTTTTGGGTTTATATGTAATATTATTTTATTGATAGAATGTATGATTGAACCGAAGAAAGAAAAATAGAATGGATGTCAAATAGGGGCTTAGTCACAATTTTGTCCCTGTTTGTCTACCATTATTTCAAAACTCATTTATTTTAAATTTATTTTCAACCACATATTCTCACAAAAAATATTTTGCACATAAATTCAAAACTTTTTCATACTTTTAAACCACATATTCTCCAAAAATTCTTTATTTTAAAACTCATTTCCATTGAATAATGATCGATTATGTTTTTTTATGCTTTTTAAAAATACGATGTGCAAATAAGTTTCTTTAGTATCTCTAAACGGAATTTTGCACAATGTCGAGGATACGAATGCGCTTAAAAGTGTAGGGGACAAAAGTATAACAATGAGTAATTATGCACCTTTATTGCAATTTAAATATGATGCGCTTAAGAAATAATGCAGTGTCAATATAATTACCATAAAGATAAATGCAGTTTTGCATCAACAAGATCATTGTGCCAATCTGAAAATTTTTTTACTGGCAATTTACACAAATAGGAATAAATATGGGCTGAATTTGAAAAATATGGATTTTTTCATAATTATAATTTATGTAATTGTAAAGACTGTAATTTATGTCATGTGTTAATTTTATTTAAATATATATAATTTTTTAAAATTGCAACTTACCCTCTTGGTTAAAACTTTGTAACTTTGACAATTTTATAGTAAGTGATGGTTTGGTAGCTTCCAAACAATTGAGAAGTCCACAACACAAAGTGGTATGTGAGTCTCAAAGATTTGATTTTTTATCTCCAGCTTTTCCTTGCGAATCAATTCATTTAGGTATGAAGATTTAGCCATTGTTTGACAATAATTATTTTGGGAAAATAGAGTATTGAATAGTGATTTTTAGAAGAACGTGTGGTTGAAAAATATGAAAAAATTTTGAGTTCACGTGTAGAATATTTTGTTTTATGAATATGTGATTGAAAATAAATACGCAAAATAAAGAGTTTAAAAATAATGATTGTCAAACATGGGTGACTTACCCACAGCCCTCTCATTTGAAAGCAAATTGACATAATTCTCACTAACAGTGGTGATATACAAATTCAGAACTCATTCTAGTCATGTTTGATTTTATTAAAAAAGTTAATAAAAATTTAAGTTAAACCATACATTCCTAGAATTCAAAATTCTTACCAAACTTTTAACCGTGCATTTCCTCAACTTTTATTAAGAATATGATTTTTAGGAAAACAAAAAATGAGCTCTATAATACTTTTTATGACTCTACTTATAATCTTAACTATTAAATTTATCCTCTTTTTATTTATTCGCAACAAGGTAGTCTTAATTTTTCTATATATACTATGTTAATTATTACTGTTGACATACAAAAAGTGTAGCCCAAATCGAGTAGTCCAAGAAATAAGATCCAGTTAGGAAGTTCAAGATGAAGGCCCAAATATGACCATTAATGAATGCAGTGAAGACCCTTGAACAAGGTACCATCATCGTCCAAACTTGCAAGACGCTCAAGATCTGAGCGAGTGGAGTGCCTTAAAATCGCCCAGAGCGAACAAGCCTATTCTCGCTCAAACCTTCGAATCGCCTAGGATCTTAGCAAACATGAGGTAATATGGTTATCCGAGCAACAGTTATTGAAACGGTTATTGAGCAACCTTATCACACCCCACAATCCAAGAATCACAGTTGTGGGCAGTTGAACGACGAGAGTAGTGGCAACAGTTTAGAGAAAGTAACTCCATAACAAGTCAGTCATTATGAAGAAAGTATGTAGTTATAGAGCAATCAAGCAATTTTCAAGCGGTTTGTCATGAAGGAATTATTAAGGAAGTATAAAAGGAAAAGAAAACATAAGAAAATGACCTCGAATCAAACACTCTCAAATATAGAATATGTAATTTTAATTTCTTATTTTAAATTTAAACACTTCTTTTAATAATCGTGCGTTTGCCCCCCCCCCCTGGAGGCATTCTGTTTATTTTCAATTGTAAATCTTCACCATAAAACACTACTTTTTGGGACTTTGTCTCAAGAGGTCTGTTTCTTACACAATCGTCTGAATTTTTTTTTAATTGTTAGCAACAACCCGTGCGAAATAATTTGGCAAGTCCGATAGGACAATTGATGTTTGAGGATACAAAAAGTGAAACAATATGCCTTATAAGTTTGATAAGGAACCAACAATTCAGTGAGTAGTCCAATATGTGATCGAGCGATATGAGGAGCAGTAAAGCTCTCCACGAACAGAGGGATAGAGTCAGAGCAGTCACAGTCATTACAAACCAATGACAGAGTTGAGTCCTCGAACCATGCGTGCATTACTTAGAAAGGTTTATGGAAAGGTAAATCTACGAAATGTTCATAATATGGAAAGGTTTACCCAAAATGGGAATGCACATTATAACAACATGACCAAACAACTAAATATATTAAATGAAATAATGAACAAGTTAGTAAGCCAAATTTGTCAGCCAGTTGTACATATTGCAAATCACTTTCAAACTAGGATGATTGTAGAACATAATTTCCGAGTCCTAAGTCCAAACAAGGGATAGAACCACATTTAGGTCCATCACTTCAAACCAGGGGTAGTGTAGTGCCAAATCTGAATAGTGGTAATGGCACATCAAATTTGGGGGATAACCTAAATATAAGAGACAATGTCCCGAATAATGGACAGAATACCCCACGTGCTAATGACGAGATAAATATTCAGTCTAATGGTAACTTTGTCTCCAACTAAGGACCAAATGTTAGGCCTCAGGCAACTCAACCAGTCAACCAACCTGTAGGAATTCCATATGACCCCAGCATCATGTTGAGGAATCAAATTATGTAAATAGTGCAGGATCAAATGTCTTTTGGGGTACGTCATGTCATTAGGCCTACTTACACAAAGTCATATCATGATTGGGTAGACCAAGCGTACGCATGGCCTAGAGAGTATAAAGTGCTAGAATTCTCATTATTCACTGGCTCAGGAGAAGTGTCTACTCTAGAACACATAGGGTGATTCACACTGCAAATTGGTAACGTGACTAACTACCATAAAATGAAGTTGTTCCCTAATTCATTAACATGAGTAGCTTTCTCCTGGTTCATCAAATGGTTCATCAATTTGCCAGCAAACTCAGTTTAAACATGGCAACAATTGGAACAATTGTTCCATACTCAGTTTTACAAGACTGAATTTGAAGTTACCTTGGCCGATCTGGCGAATCTATGTCAAATGTCAAACAAATGGGCAAAAGGTTTCCTTCAAAGGTTCAAGACAGCAAGAAGTAAATGTTTTGTACCTTTGCCCGAAAAGGAGTTTGTCAAAACTTTGATTTGAAAAAAAAAAATCCAAAACAGGGAATTTCCTGATTTTTTCCAATTGAGCGCAAATGTGATTAGGTATGAATGATTAGTAAGAGAAGAAGAGCTGATGAAAAATTCTAGTAAGGGGACTTATTATAGAGACCCAAATTTTCCATACCATTAATGACGAGTATTACGATCAAATCGAAGTATGTTTGGCCGAATTAATTAAAGGAAATGCATATACTTGTCCTATAATGGCCAACGCTCTAGAAGACAATCCTATAAAAGATGAAAGCAAAAAGGCTAGAACTTTCTTGTTCGATATAATCAAAACTGACCTTATATTTGATAAACTATATAAGGATAAACATATAAAGTTGAGAGACAAACATAAGATGTCAAACCCTAAACAAATTAAGGGTAAGAAATATTGTAAATGGCATAATGCATTGCCACATTTGACTAACAACCGTTTGGTTTTTCGCCATGTGTTACAGGATGCCATTGAATCAGGACGAATTACGTTCGAGGATAAGAAGAAGATGACAGTGGATGAAAACCCTTTTTGACAGTCACTTGGGGTGAACATGGTGATGACTGGTTCCAAAAACAAGTTGTCAATATTTAAATT